GCAAATAGATGTCGCTATTTTTAGAGTAGAGAAGGGAAATTAATTTACGCTGCTAATTTAATCTTTTACATATTCTTTTCCTTACACATATATATATGTGTGTGTAAGATATAACAAAATATTATGGCTGCTTTACAAAAATTATTGGGGACCTCAAAATTAACCTTCTAAATTTGGTCCTCTCCCTAAATTCATCTGTTCTTCCGAATTCGAGAATTTTCGATGCTTATTTAACAACCTCAAATTAACTAATCATAGCTTAGAGTACTTTCTGCATGTACTTTGTATAAATACCGCTTGGAAGTAATCTTTAACATCTATCTTAAAAACATTAAAGAAATATCTACAATTTAAAATTTTCAAACAATTTAAGATGTAACAAAATACGACGAATGCTAGCCGATTCTTCTTCTATGCTTCCGAGAAATATGACAATATAGATAAAAGTCGACAGGATTTGGCGTTTAGATTTCAGCGGTAAGTGCGCATCAGAACTAGAGGGAGGAAAGTTTATGGCTATTACTTTTAGAATGAAACGGAAGTTAAAGGTCTATTAATTTATTATTTAAAAGCTAGATTTTTATATTTTAGATATATATATATATATACTATAATCTGAATACTTAATTGTCAAAAACCAGAAATATTATTTTTAAATTGCCATTTCATTTTTCAGAATATTATTGCATTGATAAATAACCAAAATTATTAACTAACTATATATTGCGTTGGTAAATAACTAAAAATTAAGTTAGACAATTATTAATTATTGAGTTATTAATAATTATTGCATTACTATTAACTGCATTACTATTAATTGCATTGATTGAAGAATTACTGTATTGGTAAGTACCTAAAAATGAATGATATTTCATTCTTAATTAATTACCAATGAAAAAATTTTGCTTTTCAATTGAGTAAAGCTTCTAAGTATGATTTCCGGGTTTTACCTTAGAATGTTCTCCACGAATGCATTTTTTCCCTTGTTCCTTTACATGCTTTTCCGTATTTAAGTTCATTGTGTTCCTAAGTTTTCTCTAATATGTAAAGTATTCCTCTTTGAATACTGTTAAATTTTTGTAACTGATTTTAAAGTACATGTGTATTTTGATCAATGGGTGGGGAAAGGAGGATGTGTGTGTGATTATGGCAAAGCCTGAAGGGCTATCTGCTTAAGAGATGCCTTCGTGGAGGACTTTCTAAGGGAAACTGGCTCGTATACACGTTACACATGGGGAAAACCACGAAAACGCCCATGCAGCCAGCCCATTGGTGGGATTCGATCCTCAGACCGAACTACCAGTGTTCAGCGATTTTACCGCTCGGCCGCTGGTGGGCAGGGGAAAGGGAGGAACACCGTGTAGAGTGACTCTAAGCTTTCATGTTGCATCTCCTACTCTTAAGTATGCAGCCAGTTAAAAGGGAAATGTATTTAGCACTTTTTGAAATGGATTTTATTTACTTATTATGTGTGATTAAAGGATAAGAACTTTTGCGTACACGGCGTATACATTATTTTGTGCACGTAAATTATATATATAATATATAGATATATATTAAATTCAAATAAACTTCATAATTTATATGCAGTTTGCAGATTTAAATTAAAGTACTTGTTATAAAATTGGAAATAAGAATTGGACTTTAATACTCTCCTCTAAAAACTAACTCCTCTCTAAAACTAAATTCCTTTCTAACCAAAACTTCCTCTAAAAAAAAGGTAATATTAAACAAGAAATTATATAATAATAGTTCTCAAAATTCTATCTATGCTTGAGGACTTTTGGAATCCCTATCTTATTGACTTTTCTGCTAAAGAGCAGTTAGTAATTGTAATATTAATTTAATTACCTATAGATAGTCATAATCCAATAAAGCTAAAACCTCCTTCCTTCCCTTACATATTTATAAATGATAAGTTAAAAAATCAATAAAATGTACCTTCACTCTTTTGAAATAATGCAAATTAATGAAAAATCTATGTTTTAGTACAAATAATTCGCAATCCTTCAAGCCAGAAGTATAAAAGTTGATAACCCAGTTTCCATTAATTACTTCCTTTACTTGGTTCAGTAATGGCCAATCATGTTTTGAAATTTTTTATTCGAATTATCCATCATTTTAACAGCCATTTTCCATTTATTTTTCATTAATCTAGAGATTTTACTGCTGATAAATGTCTGCCTGTATTAACACTTTCAGGGTCCATTCAACGAACTGATTTTTGACAGGGTTATAGCATAATTTAATAATTTACATGAAATATAAACATAACCTCGATTGTTTTTTAGTTAATGAAGAAAATTAACAGAATGGTCACGAATAAAGTTCTAAGAAAAATGATTTTGCATTTTTGGTGTTAATAGAAACATTGATAGCAAGCATTTCGGTTACCGAAATGCATCCCCAAAAAATAATTGACTGAATACTCGTAATTAAAAGATTATTCATTCAAAAATTACTTTTCGGACTTATTAAATAAGATTACACGTGTAAGAAGTTACAAAAAGCTTAATAATTCACAAAGTAGGTGCTGTAGTGGCAAAACTGAGTACATAAGCATAGCGTTAGACATGTTGAACTACATATATGTGTAAGCCCGATTGTAAATTATTTATTGTTATTAGACAGAATATCTATTGAAAAATGGCAACAGCCAATTTCCGGATGTCGATCTATTTATTTAATTTTTTTAAATATTTATATTAAGCACGTAAATTATTTATTGTTATTAGACAGAATATCTATTGAAAAATGGCAACAGCCAATTTCCGGATGTCGATCTATTAATTTAATTTTTTTAAATATTTATATGTGTAAGCCCGCTTGCAATTATTTATGTTATTAGCAGAATATCTATTGAAAATGGCAACAGCTAATTTCCGGAGTCGTTCTATTATTAATTTTTAAAAATAGATGTGTAAACCCGATTGCAAATAATTATTGTTATTAGACAAAATATGTAGTGAGAAAATGGCAACAGCTAATTTCAGGATGTCGTTCTATTTATAATTTTAAAAATATTTTAGTGTAAGCACGATTGCAAATAATTTATTGTTATTAGACAGAATATCTATTGAAAAATGGCAATAGCTAATTTCCGGATGTCGTTCTATTTATTTAATTTTTAAAAATATTTATATGTGTAAGCACGATTGCAAATTATTTATTGTTATTTGACAGAATATCTACTGAAAAATGACAACAGCTAATTTCCAGATGTCGTTCTATTTATTTAATTTTTAAAAATATTTATATGTGTAAGCACGATTGCAAATTATTTATTGTTATTAGACAGAATATCTATTGAAAAATGGCAATAGCTAATTTCCGGATGTCGTTCTATTTATTTAATTTTTTTAAATATATAGATGTGTAAGCACGATTGCAAATTATTTATTGTTATTAGACAGAATATCTATTGAAAAATGGGAACAGCTAATTTCCGGATGTCGTTCTTTATTTAATTTTTTTTTAAATATTTATATGTGTAAGCACGATTGCAAATTATTTATTGTTATTAGACAGAATATCTATTGAAAAATGGCAACAGCTAATTTCGGGATTTCGTTCTATTTATTTTTTTTAAATATTTAGATGAAGCACGATTGAAATGTATACCGATACGATGTAATAAGAACGTCTGTTATGTTATGTTATGTTATGTACGTTTACGGATACATTACCTGTAGGTTATTAAGTAACAAGTACGATTTATCTTTAAATGAATGTTTGTTTGCCTTTTACAATCGTTTTATGAGTTTTTAACTTAACTACAAAAGAAAGCTAACATATGTAATAAAACGTAACATTGCCTTTAAGTTTTCATAATAGCAATGCGAATGAAATAAGCCTACAATTCCATACTGCCAACCAAGACGAATTTTTAAAAATGGACAAAATGTAATAGTGACATACTCGTATAATTGCACTATAATTTTTTTTTGCGAATTAATGCAAAAAGTTCATTGTTGCAAGCTGCTTTAAATGACGATACACAAAATGTATTTCGCAGTGGTTACGTCGCGGGCGAAAACAACGCAAGGCATCGTGGGAGAAAATAAAGCAAAGAGAAAACATCGCAGTTCTAAAACATCGTGGTATATAATCGTAAAAAACATCGTGGTATATAATCGTAAAAAATAAAGTACTACACAATAATAAAATACATAAAAGTTGAAGTAATAAAATACGTTGTCGAACAGTGTTATTTGGGTATAAAAAAATCGAAAATACATAATATCGAGTACTTTTCGTTTATAAGCCAAGTCCAAAAGAAATGCTTTTGTTTTATGAAACTAGATGCACTATTTAAAGCGATTTTTAATTTAATTACGATATTTTAATTTAAAAACAATATTTAAAGTGGAATAAAGAATGAATATTTTTACTCTGGAAATATTTCTATATCGATCCAATTTAAAATTCTTTCATAATTATATTTTAACCATTAACATAATATTTTAGCATCGTTGCAAAGAAGAAATTTGTGTCAAACATTCAAATTAACTAGTTATCTCGAAGACTTGAACATTCAACTTGGGAGAAGCTGCGTTGCATTCCCATTGATGATTTGGACCTTTCCTAAAATTCATTTGCTTCAATATTTACATGGTTTTCCTGTCTTACCGTATTATTTCCTTATGATGTTTTTGAACATCATAAGGAAATAATAACATCATAAGGAATAAATATTATTCTAATATATTAATATATGGAATATCTTATTCTAATAAGATAGAATTTAAAGCGTTAATAAGCTTAGGTTAACCTTTCAATTTTCAGTGTTTACTTAATTCCAAATTATACATTTGCAGAAACTTCTCCGATCGCTTAAGTACTAATTTCTGGTGTCCGATTCTAGCACCTTGGTGCATACTGTTATTGCATGAAATTATATTGAGAATTGTCCAAATAAAGCATGCAAGATGGATATTCTGCAAATTTCTGTAAATGTAATGTTGTTTCAAAGGACAAAGCTATCAGTTTCATAGACTCACCTCGTCCAAAAGCCCCCTCAATGCTTCAATCTCAGCCATTCTCTGCTGGAGCAAAGCGTACAGCTTGTTCTGAGTTCCTGATCGTCCAGAGAGTCCTTCACTGGCGTCGTCAGATCTGAGGCTGGATCTTTTCCTTCCACATCCAGTGAAGGCGTTGCAGAAGGGGCGCTTCTGCAAAACTGGTAGATCAAGCCTGTCCTAAATATGCAAAAACACCAAGCTTACTAAAAACTAAGGAAATGTCAAACAAAAGGATCGCAACAATAAATGTACAGTAGATTAACTGAATTAGATACTCAGTATTCGCAAACAGTTTCCAATCACTAATCATAGTCAATTACCAATCTGGTGCGGAATAGTCAAAGATCCGCTTATCAAATCAGAACTGCTTTTGGAGCCCGAGGTGGTTTCATTTCTTGCCATGTTTTGCACTGTTTGGACCAGTTCCGATGACCACATCAGACCTTCGTCAAAGCTATGCCATTTGTTTTTGTTGCATGATTAACACGTTGAGCGCCACGCGTATGTTTTAGGCAATCCCGTTCAGGCCACGCGCTTCGCTTAAAAGCGCTGGTATTGTAGGCCCAGTGATGCGTATCGCGGTAGAAGACAGTAACAAGTTATGAAAAAGAAGACATTCCGTCGAACAAAAATGCAAGAACATCTAGAAAAGACAACATAAACTAAGAAAACCGGGGAAAGCCTCTGAAGTACGAAATATATGTAAATTATGTTATGATAAAATGCAACAAAGCTGGTAGAGTATGGCCAGAAAAAAAGACTAAAAGAGTGTTGCCACATTTGTAATAGCTGTATGGAGAACCGTTTTTTTATGTTTACCGTGTTCAATGAATCCAATGATCAAAATCAAATCATGAATCAAAATTAAGTAAATTCTATAAAATATTGTGTAATTTCATAAAACAGTGGAAATTTTATAGTTATATATCATGTTACACGCTGTCAGCCGCGGCGGCGACGCGGCCTAAACGAAAAGGTTAGTGTCAGCCCAAATGGCAGACGCGACCTAAACGGAAAGTTTAGTGCAGCCACAGATGGCTGACGCGGCCTAAACTGAAAATCTAGTGTCAGCCACAGAGATGTCTGACGCGGCCTAAATCGAAATTCTAGTGTCAGCCACAGATGGCTCACGCGGCTTAAACGGAATTCTAGTGTCAGCCACAGATGTCTGACGGGGCCTAAACGGAAAGTCTAGTGTCACCCACAGATGGCTCACGCAGTCTAAACGGAAATTCTAGTGTCAGCCACAGATGGCTGACACGGCCTAAACGGAAAATCTAGTATCAGCCACAGGTGGCTGACGTAGTGCTCAACGTTTTAAGTATGCTTTCCAACTATCATGCCGCAGACAATTCTATTTTATATTTCGAATAAATCTACGCAAACTGATGTAGAAAATTCGATTTTATATTTCGAATTTACATATACAATCATCATATTCATAGACACCATTGATCACATCGTGCAATGACACTCTGAAGTCCAGTAACAACATGTCAAATTCCTAAGTATTGAGAAAACCAGATTTGCAATTCAGACACAACATTCACTCGAATACAGCAACTTACCAGAGAAATTTGTGAGGAATTATTACATTTTATTTTAAAAGTATATTGATTAGAAAATATGAAAAGAAATAAAATTACAAAATTATCGTAAGTTTCAATCCCAAGATTTAATTTTAGAAACACTGTAGAGTTATTAGGTTAATTGGAAGCAGAAAAGATGAAAAATATGCAGCCGCCTTCGCCGAACCACGGACCTCTGGAATACCGGCCCAGCGTGCTACCGTTACACCACGAAGGCACGCTAGGGAAGTGGGAGAAATACCTTATATACTCCCCTTTTTAAACTATACTATGTCTAACTCATTTACATTCAAAGCCATTCTAAGAACTCATTCTGATGTGGAGTCGTAAGAGGAAACAAGAATCGATAGAAAAGCACATCGAAATTAAAATAGCTGTATAAGGTATTTCTCCTGCCTTCCTGGCATGCCCTCGTGGTGTGGTGGTCTGCGCGTTGGGCGCGTATTCCAGAGGTTGGTTCGATTCCCGTCGAAGGCTTTGCATATTTTTCATCTTGCCTGCTTCCAAATCCTAATGTCTCTACAATTGTTATAAAATTAAAATATACCTTACAGTTTGACAAAGGTCCTGTATCTGCAGTTGCAGTCTTGTCATAAACAGCTGCATTTCCTAAATATTCGTTGTTTTTTTTTTTTTCTGTTTAGGAACTGAACAATTCCAACTTTTCGTAGCACAAACGACGTCAAGTTTTCCTGCACCATAGGAAATTTTCCAAATAATTTCGACACCAAACGAACCTATCCCTTGCTGATCAGGCTGGTATCTGTAATGTGTACAGTCTTGAAAAGTTAAAATTTCACGTCTCACCGTTCAATTCACCTAAGAGACTTTTTTCCCGATGCTTCTTAACCATCTCGGAGGTTGCCTTTACAAACCTGACGTTGCCGTCTACTTTCGATTGCTACTTAACTGAGTGCAAAAGAAGACGATTTTGAAGTCCTTCCACAAAACTCAAAATGTAGGCTCTTACTCTGAAAAACTGATCTAAAGCTTCATCGAAATTTGCTGACATCTAACAGATGTCAGCAAATTTAACGGATGTCCTTCCATTGGACTGGCATACATTCAACTTGCAATTTTGCAGGGGCTAATATAAAGCTCGTACTATCTCCAGACATGATTAAAGTATGGACGTGGGGCACCCCTCTGCTGTCATTCACTGCTGTAAATCACAAGTTCTAGAACCGCAAAGAGACACAGATGGCTTATAGCATTGTTTTAATTTCTTAGTAGAGTAAACCCAAATTTAGATGAACGTTTAAAGAAAACCTTTTTGTGAATCAAATGGTCACGCAGACTAATGGTGCAAATGTTAAGTTATCCTCCGTATTTTCAGAAAAAATAGAACACACGTTCGAAACCAAATTGAAATACGAATTACAAACTGAATAACTCCTAAATAAGCTCTAGCTCCGGCTGTAAATATTTAAGAAGTAAATGTGACTTCCAGAGCTAACAAATCAACTAAGTAGCAGAAGTGTGTAACTGAGTAACTGACCAGCGATAGCTGCGAAAGGCTCTGTCTCTGAAGCTCAAGAATTCTTAAATACTGTATTGAAACTTAGAACCTATCTCATTCAGTATTGAAAATATCTAAACATAAAAAAGTATCTCAGTCAATATTGAAAATATGCCTGTTTATCAAAAATTTTTACACAATTCGTATTTTAGTGTTAGAGAGCTATAACAAGTATTGAAAAATGACAAATCAATGAGACTCTTTATTCTACTATTTCGTTGACTCATTGATTAAATGCTACGCTTCTAAGTTTCAGTGAACTGGTCAGAAAGAAACTTGTTTTAGCTGTCTAGTTAATCGAGCAGGTATGGAGCTTCAAAACACTTTTCCCTTGACAAATTCTGTTGTGGAGCTCCAAACAAGGGAGATTAACCCATGCATTTATGCTTTCTTAATTTTTACTTTACGCATTAGGACCGCTATTTGTTTTAGTTAATTTGCTTTTAACTTTGCTGTTATAATGTATTACAAAAACTTGGTGGAATTCATGTCTTCTTACTGATTGGTTGGATACTCACCTTGACTTTAACGCTTTGAATTCCAGACCCTTCGCTAAACTGTATCCTCAAAATACCGAACCGCCCGAAATACTTTTCCAGTTTCACAACAATTTACTCCCCTCCCCGTCCATTAACGTTGAAAATAGGTGTGAAGATTTCGAATGACATCTTTTGTACTTTCTAACAAAGATTCCATTAGCCTTTGACCCCGTTCTTTATAACGTTGCGCGCCTCCAACTTGCACGCAACCAAGAGGTGACTGTGAAAACTTGTATAAAAGATAGAAGCTTGTGAAGGGTTTAAGTCCCTTTTTATTCAACGTAATAAATTACAATTGCGTTCTTTGACGCTTACAGACGGTGCCAACTTGGCAGTCAAATAAAAATAATTAACCTGAAAGAAACTAAAGGACCAGATTCTAACTACGAGGCTCTCTCTAAAATAACAACTCACCGCGTTTACAATACCGTGCTAATTCAGCAGACTTGAAGCTCACTGAACGATGACCACTACTTCCCGCCAAGCACATAGGCCGCAACGCGGGTTCTTCAATTCTCGCTAACTACCTCCGCGCTCGCTAAGTAAGAAATCTCTCAACCGAACTTGTTTCCTTCTATTTAAATCAGAAATACTTCCGCTGATAATTTGAATCCTTGCGCGTTCTACTAAAATTTAATATTCTGGCATTGGCGTTCCAGGGGAAAGTAAGGCTTGACAGGAAAGATAGTTTAAACTTAAATAAATGTTAGTTAAAATAAATATAAACCCTACTCTTTATAAAACTATTCTGAAGATCAGACCAAAAAGCTTTTCTGGCTTTGTTATGATCACAATAGATCTGTTTTTTTCGGTATTTTTAGGAAGGAATAAATGATTAAAAAGAAATATAATCCTTAAATTTTTAAACTGCGATTTAATTGCTGTAAAGGGACACTGTACCACAAAGGAATCGACAACGAAATGTCACTAGCAAGCAAAAGATAAGAAACCTCTTAGGAAAAGCTGTCTGCAGTAAACTGATACAATGCATTTGTGGATACTGCACCTGCTACTGCATACCTTAAGAGGAGGGAAGAAAACAAGATTACAATCTCGGCCGTTTTCCGGCGGTTCTGGTTGTTTCAATTTAGGACCGTGTCGGGCGGATTGGTTGTGAAGAGTTAATGCTGTAGAGTCATTAGGTTAATTGGAAGCAGAAAAGATGAAAAATATGCAACCGCCTACGCCGGGAATCGAACCACGGACCTCTGGAATACCTGCCAATGTGCAGAACCACTACACCACGAAGGAGGCTAGAAAAGTGGGAGAAATACCTTGTATACTCCCCTTTTTAAAGGGCGACTAGGGTTTTAGGGGACCTAGTCGCCAAATCCTGGGTACGGAGAATCATCATCCACAACCCTTTTTGTTCGGGCGCCACTTGTAGAATCATTAGGTTAACTGGAAGCAGAAAAGATGAAAAATATGACACCGCCTTCGCCGGGAATCGAACCACGGAAATCTGGAATACCGGCCCAGTGTGCAGAACCACTACACCACGAAGAACGCTAGGAAAGTGGGAGAAATACC